CTTGGCCAGGCACAGTGGCCGCCCTGGACCAGAGGAAGAAACAGAAGCTCCACAGGGACCCAGCAGAGGCCCCTGGGCACCGTCCTTCCAAACAGAACGGCTCCGTTTCCGCGTGTCCTCCCCGGCTGCCCTGGGCCTGTGCCGACCTGGGTTGGAGCCGCGCATGGCCGGAGCCCAGGGGCCGCGTTCTCACTGACTTGATGGGAACCGACCTGGACTCGATTAGCAGCCGGGGCAGTGCTGACCGCAGGCGGGATGTCCAGGGAAGGGCCTGAGACTCACCCGGGGCTGCGGCAGGCCAAGGGCAGCTTGTGGCCACCTGCCCTCCTCGTCACCAGGCCCGGCTCCCTGGCCCGAGGGCTCGGCCCACCCAGTAGAGAAATGTCCACCCTGCACGAGTGGCCGAGGCTCTCTGTCCCCTGGTCTGAGCTGGCGGGAGGCCGGGCTGCGCCCGAGGCCTCTCCTGAGGGGCAGGTGGGGCCTGGGACAGTCTCCAGACACCAGGGGACATCATGTTGCTGTGGAGATGTCGTGGCCATGGAGAGGGCTGCCAGTGGACTCCAGAAGTCCCAAGGTGAAAAGGCCATGAGTATCTCAGGGACCACTTTTAATGTGGATTACAGTGATGACATTTTGGGTCAACTGGGGCCAATGAGAATCGAGAATCAGCCTCACCTGTGTTTTTCTTTAGTTTTTAATGCGGCCTGCGGATCCTCTGCCCAGACAGGGGCCCAGTGCAGCTCCTGGGACGGGGACGCAGCCCCTCCTCCCGCGAGCTCCGGTCCTCCATGTGCAGAGCGTGGCACTGGCCTCACCCGGCGTCCCCGGTGCAGGAGGCCGGCAGCTGCCCAATGACTCAGTTCCTGAGCCGGAAGGGGGAGTGGGCGTCCTCCACTCTGCCTCGCTTCCCTGTGCCCGGCTCCCTGCCCTCCCTGCCCCCAGGCCGGTCACCAGCTGCAGCGTCAGCGCTCGAGGCCTGGGGACGTCCCTGCTCCGTCCTGAGTACCCCTGAGTACACATTGATCCGGGCCAGGGGGACCAGACCCAGACCTTGCTGGGACACGGTGCCTTTGAGATTTATTTAAACCCTGAGACACCCTGGTTGGCCCCAGGCCTGACAGCAGGAGATTCACAGCCGTAGCTGGGTTTTGGGTTGTTGTTGTTTTTTTTTTTTTTTTGGAGGGAGGGTTCCAGGGATCGAGCTCAAGGACACTGGGCCACTGAGCCACGTCCCCAGCCCTATTCTGTATTTTATTTAGAGACAGGGTCTCACCGAGTTGCTTAGGGCCTCACCATTGCTGAGGCTGGCTTTGAACTCCTGATCCTCCTGCCTCAGCCTCCCGAGCCCCTGGGGTTACAGGCGTGGGCCACGGTGCCCGGCTCGCTGTGGGTGCTCTTTAAGTGCGCAGTTCAGGGCCTGGAGGGGCCCACAGGGTCGCGCACCATGCAGTGGCCCCAGCCTCCCACCTGCGCCAAGACCAGGAGGGCCGTCCAGCCTGGTAGACCCCTGTAGGGGCAGGGCAGGGGCACCCTGAGAAGCCAGCGCCCGCTCTAGGGCCAGGGCAGCTCCTGGCCTCCCGTCCTTGGTCTCCACAGGGCCCACTGCCAAGGCCAGAAGGCAGGGCAGCTTGCCACCCAGGGGCGGCCTGGGGACAGAGGGGGGGAGGGGAGGATCTGGGCGGAAGGACGGGCACCGGTGGAGCTGACTCTTGTTGCCTCTCGTGGGCACCAGCCTAGTCCTCACTGGGGATTGGCCTCTGCTCGCACTCCGCAGACAGTGCCCGACTCCAGGCTGGGAGGGGTGGGCGCAGCTGGCCTTCCGATCCGCTGTGGGCTTAGGAGAGCCGATCCAGCCTGCGCTGCGGCCTTTGCCAGGGACGTGGAAGGGGCAGCTCCTTCTCTGTCTCGGATCACAGGGACGATCGTAGGACTCCTGGCAGCCAGCATGCCACCTCGGGGAGAATGTGAATGGAGGAGTGGACAGGCCAAGGAGGGAGTGTGACCAAGGTCTGGTGACATGACTCAAGTCCCTGGATCTGGCTGTGCCTGAAGCTGACTCTATTCCTGGAATTCTGCTTCCTGGGGCCAGGACTCTCCCTTTCCGCTTGCACAGGCCTGACTTTCGCTGGCCGGCAAGAAAGGTCCCTCTCATTGTCAGTTTTCTCGTTTCTCTTTGTCACTGTGGGCCACAGCCCGGTTATGCCGGTCTCAGGGATTTTCAGCGGCTCACAGGATCGCTGAGCAAGCGGCAGATGTGGGGACACGAGCCGCCTTCTGCCTCCAACTCCGACAGCGTTTCCTCTGCACCTGCGTCAGCCGGGCCCAGGGGGGAGGAGGGGCTGCGTGGCCGCGATGCCCGGCTGGCATGCGGTGCCCTGGCGCCCCTCCAGGGGTCTTGCTTCCCACTCTTCTTCTTGCCCAGCGTCCCATGTCACTGAGCCTCGTTCCCACATCTGCCACCCGGGCTCCTCCTTCCCGCCTGCCCCCCGGGTCCCAGGAAAGCCCCCGGCCAGGCTGGGCAGGGTGTGCTGTGGCCCAGCACGTACGGGGCAGTACCCATGCACTGCCGTTGGCCCCAGTTCCCCGGGGAGGCTGGGGGCCACTCCAGGACGGAGCCGGGCAGCGCCCTTCCCTGTGCTGGGGTCTCAGGGAGCCAGGTCCCTGCTGCAGACGGAGGGAGAGGGCTGGAATTTTACCCAAGGGACATTTTCAGCTGAAAAACATCACCTCAGCCCTCCCGGGCATCCCACCGTGTTCCAGAAACTTCTCAGCTTAGCCAGTCCCTTGAGACACGCCGGGGCCCCGTTCTCTGTCCTGCCTGGCCGCGGGGGTCACACGGGGCCACCGCGGGGCAAGCCTTGGTGTTCCCAGCCTGCTCTACCCAGCCTGGCACAGCAGCGGGGGCACCTTGGGAAAGCCCTGGGATGTAGGAGCCTCCGTGGTCCCCTGGGGAACATGGGGACATATCCACATCCTGGTCAGCATCATGGCAAGCGTGGGAGCATCGTGCCTCGGAGGGCAGCGTGGCCACTCCTCCCGCCCCGAGGGACATGGCAGCTCTCCGTGGGCTCCTCCCGTCCCTATGCTTTGGTGACTCCGCTGCAGGGCATCCTGGGTTAGTGACGCTGACCGTGAAGGTGGCCGAGTCCACTGCAATGGTTACCTCAGCTCTCTGGCCTCCACGCCCCAGCTGCAGGGGGACAGGAGCTGCTACCACTCAGGCTGCAAAGAAGATGGCAGCTGCCCAGCAGCTGACCGAAGCCCCACGGATAGGCAGCAGGCTCGGGGCAGCTCCTGGGGCAGCACCCTGGCACCAGGTCCTCACCCCTAAGGGTCCCGGACCCCAGGAGCAGAGGCCAAGGGGCATCACAGCCTGCGGGTCCTCCCTGGACACGCGTCTGCCTGGCCCAGGGCGTTCTCTGCTCAGTGTTGGGGGCCGGGGGCTCCCGGGGCTCCTGGGGGGTCTGCTTCCCGCTCACCTGGCCGTGGGCAGGACCCGGGCCTGGCCATGGAGCCGGCTGGCCGCTCTCCCCAGGGTTCCCGAGCTGAGGCCCAGACCCCAGGACCTCAGAATGCGACCGCATGGAGACAGGGTCTTTGAAGGGGTGACTAAGCTACCAGGGGCCCCCGGGGTGGCCCTGACGCAGCCTGATTGGTGTCCACGTGAGGACATTGGGCAAGCTGGAACCCAGCCAGGCAGGGAGAAGTCAGAGGCCGCAGCCCTGCCACACCCTGCCCTTGGACGTCAGCCCAGAGCCAGGTGGGAGAAGCGGCTGCGGTGGCCCTGCAGTCCGTCTGTGCCCCGGGCCTCCCAGCACGGCTCCTCACTTCTCCAAGGCCAGCAGAGGACTCTTCCCATGGGACAGACACAGAGTCGCTCACGGCATGAGTGACAATGCCACGGCCTGGCTCACGCTCAGCAGGAGGGAGGAGCAGGTCTGCAGATTCCAGGAGGGGGACTGTGGGGCCTCCTCAGAGTCCGTCCACCCCACTCAGTGTCCTGACCTGCTCATTTGCTCTGGGAGGTTGTTTAAGTAAGAGTAAGGCTGACTGTGGCCCCCACGGTGCACCTGGACATCACGTGTTCTCGAGTCCATGGTACACCAGTCAGGAGAGGTTAGGTTTTGCCACAGTAACGAATGACCCCAAATCCCAGCTAAACAAACAACCGCGGTTTCTCCCTTTTCCTTTGTGGGTCACGCAGACCTCAGTGCTCTTGGTAAACAGAATGGCCACCACTGGGCGGCAGCCAGTTGCTCACAGGATCTTGAAATGAGTCATATGCCAGTGTGGTGGCCACGCCTGCAATCCCGGGGACTCAGGAGGCTGAGGGAGGAGGATCGCAAGCTCTAGGCCAACCTCAGCAACTTGGCAAGGCTCCGAAAAATTTAGGGAGGCCTTGTCTCAAAAAAAGAAAAGAAAAAGGAAAAAGTTTGGAGGGGCCAGAGACGCTGCTCGGGGGTAACGTGCCCGAGGCGTGTGGACTCAGGACTCAGAGGTAAGATGTACATGACCCGCGCTGAAGCTTCATCACCTAGAGAACCCAGTCACTACCCCCACCCGCTGTGTGACAAGATGGGCACAGTGACACCTGCATTTTCAGAGGAGAAAGCTGAGGCTCAGAGAGGTTAGGAGTCTTGCTCAAGAACCCACAGCTTCAAGCAGCTAAGCAGAGGCGTCTCCCATGTGCTCAGGACACCCCCATCCTCCTCCCCAGGCCTGGTTTATGGTCCAACCTGAGCCACACACGCGTGTGAACACACTCACGCTCACACGTGTGCACCGCCCCGAGTGCGGCAAGGGTGGCGTGGAGCGCGGGCTGAGCCCCCCTCCGGGCTCGTGACACGGTGATGACCAAGGACGGGTCCAGGGAGCTGCTCTGCAGGGACCTCTGTGGCTGAGCCTCGTTCCAGGAGATGCCCTGGAGGCCCTGGGGTCGTCCTGGTGATCTATGGCACTGGGCTGCCTGCCATCCGCTCCCGCGGGAGGGTCTGGCTGGCTCACTGTGTCCCCAGGACCAGGCGGGCACCGGGCAGGGCCTCGAGGGCTCCTGCAGACAGCGGGCTGCTGGGGACAGACGGCTCCCGGCCCATTGGACCTGCCCCGTGTGGACGGTGGACTGGACTGCTCCTCTGTCCCCCAGCACAGGGCCACCTGCTGTGGTGGCCCCAGAGCCCCCGGAGTCCCTGCTGCTCTTTGTCCTGTGTGTGTGTCCAGCCCCCTGGTGGCCCCTGCCTCAGCTTCCAGACACCCCCAGCCTCACCAGGCTCTGGCCATGGTGGCACACCTGGACGGTGCAGCGGTCCAGCCCCCGGGCTCCTGGCGGCCACGTGGCCCCTTAAGTCCCTTGGTCACCATCAGACAGGGGGATCATGTCAGAGCCCCAGGCCTGCGGCAGGGAGGCTCCACCCGAGGGTCCCCGCGGCTCCCACCCCAGAAAAAGCCAGAGTGTGAAGTGACAAGCCCCCTGTAGCCCGCCCCCTCCCCGTCTGTCCTCATCTCCCACCTGTGGCCCTGTCACTCACCCAGCACCAGCCCCTTGGTGGTCCCTCACAGTCGCCAGCCCCCCACACTGGGTCACGGGTACAGCCTCCCGTCCCCTCCCTGACCATGGGACCCAGGGGTGGGCAGTGGCCTGTCTGGTTCTGTGACCTGGGGCAGGGGTCCCACAGGGCCGGGAGAGGCCCCCACCTGCTGCAGGTGGCCCTGGTGGGTCACAGAGACCAGGCCCCCTGAGCAGCCGCCCCATCATGGAACCCGCTGCCCCCCAACCCCCGGCTTCCAGGAGCGCGAGGCGGACGTGAGGGAGCGTGCAGGGGGCGAGGGGCTCTCGGGACCCCGGAGTTAGCTCCTCTGTGCTCTGGAACAGCCTCGGGGCCTGGAGGGAGCAGGAGGCGTGTGGAGGGGCCGAGGCTGGACCGGCAGGGCTGAGGCTGGACTGGCTGACCTTCGGCTGCAGGGGCGTGTCCAGGGGCAGCCAGCAGAGCCCAGCAGATGTGTGGCCAGGACAGCCCAGTGCCACCAGCCTGCTGCCCACCATGAGCCAAACAGAGCTGGTGATTTGTGCCCCGGGGCCCTGGGGTCCAGGGGTCATCGCCATGCGGCGTGCAAGTGCTCAGTCAATGTCTCCGCTGTGCGCCAAGCATGTGGGCCTGGTGGCTCCCGGGCCGGGGCCAGCCGGACACCGGCCAGGGGGCATCCTGTCACCCTGTGGGAGTGGCGCTCACGGCCGGGTTCACTGGGCCGAGCTGGCCCGGGCAGATCCGGGGGCAGGGCTTCCTGGGCCTGCGGCTCCGGCCCTGGCCCCCAGCCAGCCCTTCCACGGCTGCGGCAGGACTCCTGGCAGGACAGAGCTGGGTCCCAGTCTGTCCACGGCCCCTTGCCTCCGACAGCATGGCCTATCTCGCCGACCCACAGGGCCACCCACGGTTCCTGCCGGCTCTCCCCTCAGCCGGTCCCCTCCTCCCCGGCACAGACAGTACCTGGAGCAGAGCCCGGGACACGGTTCTCACAGGACAGGCTGGCTGGGAGCAGGGACAGAGCCATCTGGAGGGTCTCTGGGCCCTGAACTGCACCGGGGAGGGTCCTGTCTCTGAAAGGCTTCCCTGAGGCCCCTACTTAAGTCAGGGCTCAGCAAGAGGAAGGAAGGGCTGGTTAGAAAGTGAAAGGTGGCGGCTGCGTCCGTCCTGCAGAGGGCTTCTGGGATCTCAGGCTCTTCCTCTAAAGGAAACCTGGTGTGGGGCGGCCACGGGAAGGATGTGGGAACAGCATCAGCCGGGCACTCGTGGTGCTGGTGGAGGCCTGGCCTCTGAGATCTTCAGGATGTCACTTGTCTCCTTGATCTGATCAACAGGTACGCGCCCGGATCATAGGTTTCTTAAAATATATTGCTGCGTTATCTAATCTGAAAGTCCATCCCGGAGCCGACCAGCTCTCGTAAGCAGGCGAACCGGGTGATTTTCATAGACCAGCGAGGTCTCATAGCACGAGGATTTACAGATTTCTCAGGAAGTTGGGAGTGACCGTCAGGAGGGAAGGGCCAGGGGCCGGGATGGGTGCTCAGGTCTGGGCTCCGTCCTGGTCCCTTTGTCCTTCCTCGGATTCCTTCTGTCCTTTCTTCCTTTTCTGCTCCACCTCATCTTCATCGGGAGCCAGGCCGGCTGGGGGGGGGGGTGTTACAGACACAGCTTTTCTTCATTTTTATTGTGGTAAATTATCTATTGCATAAAAACCACTGCATTAGCCACTGTGAGGTCCAAGGTCTGGTGTTAGTGACACTCGCCACGAGCCGGTTCCTGGGGCTCCTGTCACCCTGAACAGTGGCCCTGTCCCTGGCCCTGTGGAGCAGTAACTGCCACTCCCCTATCCTGGCCATGGCGCCCTAGCCCTCCTCTCCTCTAAGCTGGGTCTCCTCATGGGCACCCCTGGCTGCCAGCTTCTTGCCCTTGGCATAACACCCTCAAGGCTCATCCACGCAGTGGCCGGGGCCAGAAGTCCCTCGCTTCCTGCCCTTTCCATGATGTAAATGGGCTTCCATTTTGAGCACTGGGCATGCGCAGTAGGGAAGGTACCAGCCGGAAGGCAGGGCAGGCCCAGCGGGAGTTCCAGGGTCCCTGGGGATGCGCTGCTGCTGGTGGGGGAAGCAAAGCATTCTGGGCCACCAGCTCAGCAGGTGCAAAGGCCCCGTAGGGGAGGCCGGCTATGTCTTCCAATGCGTGGGTTACAGATTAAGTGTTTGTGTCTCCCCCACATTCATAGGTTGAGGTCCTGACCCTGCATGTGATGGTGTCGGGAGGCAGAGCCTGTGGGAGGGGACAAGGTCATGACATGGGCCCCCACGGGGGGTGTTAACTTCAAGCAGGGACCCCAGAGAACTCCCTGGCCAGTTTCCACCCCGTGAGGACATCTGGGGAGCAGCAGCCCTCACCAGAGTGGGACCTCTGGGGCCTCCACCTTGGGCCTCAGCCTCCAGAGCGGTGAGCACCACATTTCCTGCTCCTTGGCCACCAACGGGACCCAGCGGGACAGTGTGGCCTCAGAGCTGCATTCAGCCCACGGCGGGAGCTCTCTGTGCAGTGACGGAGGGCAGGGCCACGGCCAGGCCTGTCCTGGCTGCCAGAGGGTCCCGGGTTGCTCTCACAGCAGGCCTGGCCCTGCAGACAGTAGAAGAACATGAAAAACCAAAAGCCGGTTCCTGTTGACCTTGAGCTCCTGGATCCAGCTGTACTTGAAGGAGGAATGTCTGAGACTTTCAGATACGAGATACGGAGCTCCTGGCTCCCGCCCTGGGGTGGAGCCTGCGGTGCCCGGGCTTTCCCTGGGCCTCCCTCCCTCTCCAGCTCCGGCACTGCCCGGAACCCCAGCGTGGACCCCTCGCACAGGCCCCGAGGGAGTTCAGGACAGCCTCCCCCCGCCCTCCCCCCGCCCGCTGGGCTCCTGGGCGATACATCCTAATGTATATTTAACAGTGGTTCAAAATCGAATTAATTTAGCTGGTTAATAAACTGTAACATCCGTTTCTAAATCGGGCACATTTTCCCGAGCCTGTTGGTCTAATTTGTTGCTGTTGTGATCCTTCAGCGCTGATGGGATCGCGGAAAGGTTTCCAGTGAAATCATCCAGATTTGATTAGGGTCCAGCACGTTAATATCCTTCTTTCCCAGAGTCCTCGGGGAGCCCGGCCGAGGCCCGCCGTCTCCCACGCGGGGAGGCTCCGCAGGCCGTCTCAGAGCCCAGCTCACCCCGGCCCTCTTTAGAGACGCCCTTTGTGGGGTGTGCATTTATGGAGCGCTGACTGTATGCACAGCCCTGATGTGAACATTCTCAGTGGAGAAGAGGGGGGTTCCCATGTGACAGTCACTGCAGAGAGGTCACGTCCAGTTTTGCCTCCCAAGGGATCCCGGGCCCGGTGCAGAAAGGTGCCCATAGACAAACAGGCTCAACCTTGAACTTGCCCTGACTCCCCGGTGCTGGGTGCTGGGGTGGGTGAGGCAATAGAGGGCAGGAGGGGGACCTGGACCATACGCGGGAGGCTGGAGTGGGCAGGGGTCTCTGGGACCCTCTGCTCTCACCCCACCCCCGACTCCACTTCTTCGGGGATGTGCCAGGCCTCCCCATGGTCACAGAGGGACGTCCAGTGACCTTCCAGGGACCCTCCTTCAGGGAAGGGCGGGCAGGGCCAGGCTGGCAGCAGAGTCCCGGGAGCTCCCCACAGTGGGTCCTCCAGCCAGCACGCCAGTCCGTCCATGGGGACAGGGTCTCGGTGGCCTGGTGTGCCCCTCTGCCTCTGGTGGCCCCTGAGCTTGGCACCGCCCTTCGCTCCCATCCGAGTGAGCACCAGAGCAGCAGCGGCGTCCATGCCATGCTGGACCTTTCAGATTCGCAGAGGACAGTGTCCCTCCCCCGCCCGCAGCCCCCACCGCCTGGTCACCCTGGGGCGCCGCCCCCTCCGGCTCCGCGTCCCTCGACCTGTGCCTCCCACCTCATGTGTGGATCCCAGCCTGAGCAGCAGTGTCCTCGGGCCCCGGCCCCCGACAGCAGGAGCCCCCGCGGACCTATCGGTGGCCCAGGATGGCCCTCAGATGCGCCCGGTGGCCCCTACACAGGGCGTTGCCGCTCCTCAACAACTGACTGGCGTCTGAGGCCAGGAGGTACCAGGTGTCAACTCTGGCTTCTGTAACTCGGTCCCTGCTGTCACAGGTGAGGACACCAGTTGGAGGGAACTGGGCTTCCCATGGGTGGGACACTCTTGTCCCCTCGCCCCTCCCACACCAGGGGCCCACTGGGTTAGGGGCCCATCTAGTGCCCACAGGTATGGAGGGGTCCCAAGCCCCCCTCTGTTTATCTGTGGCCTCGCCCTGGCCATGTCCAAGTGATGTCCTCAGGGCTGCGAGGACACCATGCCCGTCCCCACTTCCCCACACGTCCAAGGTTGCTGGGCCCAGGGTGGAGCCAGGACTGGAGATGGGGGCCATTGGGCTCCCAAGCCCGGCTGCCTCCTGCTGCCCGCGCCTGCCCAGCCTGGTTTAAGTAGAGCAGGCCAGGTTCGGGAAGGATGCGGGGAACGTGAAGGGAAGGGGCTCTACTTAAACCAGGGACAGAAGCACGCCCCACAGGGGCCACCTGGCACCTAGTCGAGGGCAGAGCCGAGGGGCACAGAGGCCCAGGCGGGAACGCTGCCCCTGTCCTGGTGGACGCTGAGTCTCGAGGAAGCCAGCCCCAGCCTGGTGTTCACCCCACTGTCTGCACACCCGCCCGCCTGCATTGGCCCGTCCGCTGCGTGGCAGAGCTATGCCCTGGACTTCCATGCGCCAGTGTCTCTGCTGGCTGCAGGTCAGGCTGCACCGGGAAGCCCGGCCACCGGCTCGCTGTTCTCAGGGTGAGTGGTCAGCGCCCAGGGGACCGAGGGGCCTTCCTGGGGCCTGTCAGCACTGGTGCCTGGAAGCCTAGGATGTCACCTCTGCTACCCAGGGACTGCCCCTTCCCTGCCCACGCTGTCTCTGGCCCTTCCCTCCAGGCTCCGGGTCCCCACTGCCCGTTAAAAACAGAAAAAGGCCAGTGGTTTACTGGGCATCAAGCACTGCAGAGCCTGGGCAGCTTCCAGAGTAAGTCAGAAACGGCTCCCTGGGCCTCGAGGAGGAGCCCGCCTGTCTTCTGGAACATCCGCTGCCTGCATGTCCTTGCCACCTCCTAAGTGCCCAGAACAGAACCTGGCATGCAGTTGGTGCCCGGCCAAGGTTTGTTGAATGACTCATGGACAGTAGAGTACAAACATCTTCCCCCATGGCCGCTAATGGGCATCGCCCAGGCTCCTGTTATTACTCTGCCTTTAGGGAGAGGGTCTGAGACCCCCAAGAGGTGCAGGAACCAGCCATACTTGCCCAGCTGTGCAGGGCAGGCCAGGAGCACAATGGGGGCCTCTGTGGCACCTACCAAGGAGCAAGCACCCCCTCTTCTTGTCCTTCCCAGCCCGCAGCAGGAGCTGCCGTCATGGTGGATGCCCGGTGTGTGGTGGCATCCAGGGACTAAGCAGGTAGGTCTGGGCATCGGCCCAGCCGTCAGGCCACACAGGGAGACACCGGCTCCCCTCAGTGAGAGCCTCGCTCTGTGGCCCGGGCAGCCAGAGGTGCCTGCAGCTGGACAGGTGCTTCGACCTTCACCAGGTGCAATGATGTCCGCGGGCAAAATATTAGGACAGAGCTTCCAGGAATCCAGAAAAGAAGAGGAGTTTGAGGGAAAATGCACCCCGTTCCTGCCTCCCGGCGCGAGCTGGAGAGCTCTGCCTGGCTCTCCAAGGGAGGCCAGAGGGCCACGGGGACGCTGGGTGGGCTTTGGGCCCTCGGGGGTGGGGATCCTACCCCGGGAGCGAGACAGAGAAGTGCTTCTGGGTGCCGCTGGCTTTGGCTCCAGAGGGACAAACAGCGTTCTTCTGAGGACTCCTGGGCCATGTCTCACCCTGGCAGAGACCAGGTCTGCAACGTCATCTGTCCACCAGGGACTCCCAGGGGACGCGGGCAGAGCTGGCCCCAGGGGATCTCACCTGGCTTGGAGTCGCTGGCCCCAGGCGCCCCGGAGCCTTAGCAAACTGAGAAAGGTGTGGGCGTGAGCCGGCGGTACTGGGAGCCCCAGGGTGGCCAGACCTCTTGGTCAGCAGCAGACAGGGTGTTCAATTTTCCACTGTCAACCCACAGAAGGGGGCCCGAGTGCTGTCCAGAACACAGCAGCCCTGGCCAGCTGCCCTGGGCTCTCAGTGCGGATCCTATAGGTGGGAAGAGCAAACCGCAGTCAGACCCCACACTCCTCCCTGCTGGGCTGTCTTCGCTCTGCTGCTGTCTCTCTTGGGAAGGTGACTGTTTCTAACAAGAAATGAAACTTCCAGAGCCCAAACTTGGGGCACAGGGAGAGCGGGTGGGAAGTTTTGTGGTCATTTATTGCAGTAGCCACTGGAAACGCGCAACGCCCAGTGTCCCCGCCCACAGGACCCAGTTGGCACTTTCCAGTGCAACAAAGAAGGACAAAAGGAATAGTGGCTTCACATTGGACGGGGCTCAGCGACACATTCCACATGGCGGAGATAGGCCAGCTGCATGTGTCATGACAGTGACCAGAGATCTACCCAGGAGCTGGGTGTGTCTTGGTGGATGGGAATGGCTCCTGGGGCATGGCTCAGTGGGTGTGGGTAAATGGGCGTGGCTAAGAGGGGGCGTGGCTTGGTGGTATGAAGTCTTTCAGAGGGGCGTGGCTCAGTGGGTGTGGCTTAATAGTGGGCAGTGGCTCAGAGGGTGTGGCTCTGTGGCTATAGTTCAGTAAGGTGTGGCTCATTGGGGGCGTGGCCCTGAGGGGCGTGGCTCAGAGGGGCTTGGCTTGGTGGGGTTGTCTCCATGGAGAGTGGCTCTGTGGGTGTGGCTCAGAGGGGTATGGCTCATTGGGGGCGTGGCCCTGATGGGCGTGGCTCGGTGTAGAAAGTGGCTCGGAGAGGCGTGGGTCAGTGGGCGTGGCTTAGTAGGGGGAGAGCCTCAGAGGGGTGTGGCTTGGTGGAGGTGTCTCCATGGGGCATGGCTCTGGGGGTGTGGCTCAGAGGGGTGTGGCTCAGTGGTGGAGTATCAACTCATCCCGCAGGAGCCCCAAATCTCCACCCCCAGAGCCTCAAAATACGTAAACACGAATTCAGGCATGGAGAGTAGATGTGAGTACACTTGGTTAATGAGCATTCATTAAGCACCTACAGTATGCCTGACCCAGAAATGGGTGCTAGGCTCACGTGGCACAGACCCCAACCTGTGTGGTCCTGAGCTCATTTACCTCATGTGAAAACCAGGGATAACAGTTCTGACCTCATAGCGGTGAAGGGACTGACCTGCTGAGGGCCACATACTCAGCTGGGACCAGTTGTGTTAGTGGGGGGTAAACCAGGTCACAGGAAGCAGCAGGCAGAGAGGCGGGAGGGACAGGAGGCCCCATCGGAGGAGCAGAGCAGGTGACGGGGTGTGACGGAGTGGGGGTGCAGGTGGGGCCTGGCAGGGCTGCCCCTGGGGAGTTGGGGTCCCCGAGGAGCCTGCAGAGCTCTCTCAGCCACTCAGCCTCCTGGGTGCCCTGCCCCAGCCTGCTGTCCTGAGCGTCCCTGGGGCACCCGTCACCCTGGGAGGAGCGAGGAAGAGCTCAGGATCCGAGCCACTCCCTGACCATGGGGGGCTTGGACACGGCCACACAGCTCACGGTCCTGGGGCAGAAGCCGCGACAGGGTGCTGGCCAGCCGAGCTCCTCGCGAGACCCTGGAGGACCCTTGTCTCTTCATTCCTGGGGCTGCAGGGACACTGTCACTCCTTGGCTTGCGGCTACTTTCCTGGCTACCTTCCCGCTATGTGTCACCTCGTCATCCCATAAGGACACCAGTCACTGGACGTGGGGCCTGCACTACTTCAGCATGACCTCATCTTAATTCCATCTGCAAAGATGCAACTTCCAGATGAGATCACAGACCCTGGCTCTGGGTGGACCTGAGCCGGGGGCCTCCTCAGACCCTGCGCCTCCCGAGGGCTGAGGGTCCTCACAGCCCCTGAGTGGCTGAGACAGCCCAAATGCCTGCTGCAGGGTGAGAAGGCCAGGCTCATGGTGGCTGACCCCAGGGCCAGTGCCCAGGGACGCACGCTGCTGGCTGCCGAGCATGGTTCGGGCGAGGTGGACGTGGGGCCTGGGCCATCTCCTCTCAGCTCTGCTCTGAAATGGTGATGACTTTGTCACGTGATTCCCCAGGGTTTCCACTTGTGCATAGTGGGCATCCTGTCCTGGGGGACCTGTCCTTGGACATTTGTGCCTGCACACAGCAGAACGACACAATGTGGCCAATATCATTCTTTCCGCGAACTTTACTTTTTTTTTTTGATATTTATTTTTCAGTTTTGTTTTAGGTGGATACAATATCTTTATTTTATTTTTATGTGGTGCTGAGAATCGAACCCAGTGCCTCACGCATGCTAGGCAAGCACGCTACCACTTGAGCCACATCCCCAGCCCCCCGCGAATTTTACTTGAAGGTTTTGTTGTGTGTTTGGGTTTTGTCTTGAACCTTTCCTCTCTCAACTCCACTGCTGGAGTCACGTTCTGGTCGTTAGTGGCCCCAGGGTCACCGCTGTGGTGACAGCCATTGTGAACACAGAAGATTTTCCCAGAAGGTGGGAATTGGTGCTAAGGGACTCCCTCCAGTCTCTGAGCATGGACGAGGGTACTCGGTGGCCAGCTGCCATCTTAAAAAGCAGAGGAAAGGGGACCCGGGACGGGCCAGTGTTCGCTCACTTTGTCGGGGGAAAGTGAAGTCCACGGGGAGGTCAGACATTCAAGTTCATCTGCGTTTCCTGCTTCCCAAGCCCCGGCCAGCCTAGCCTGCCAGGAGGCCCGGGCCGCCGTGGCCACCAGCCCCACTCCTGCGCGCTGCGTGTCTGCCAAGGGCCGAGACAACGGTAGCTCAATTTTATTGATCTTGTCAACAGCAGTCATTCAAGACAGCCATTTAAATTCTTGGGAGGGAGCCGGAGCCGTGACCGCGTCTGCGCCAGACTCCTCCTGGCTCATCATTGGCCACCAAGCCCAGGGACAGCCGCTGCTCTGAGGCGGACGTAGCGGGAAGAGGGGCCGGAAGGCTGAGGGTCTGTTGGCCACCTGGAAGATGAAAGACCATAAGGGTCAGTTCCTGTCCAGGTGCAAGGGCAGGAAGGGTCACCAGGGTCACCAGAATGGTGTGGGCACCCAGTGGTATCAATTCATTTTGTCCCTCATCCCAGCCAAATCCCCTCTGTCCCCCCAGCCCCCTTTTAGCACCTGTGGTTTGAGGTGGAGCAGAAGACTCCCCAGCCCCAACCCCCCCCCCAGAGTGACTTTAATGAAAGCTGAGCTCTCAGCCCAGCCCCAGTGACGGCCACCCAGGGTGTGCAGGAGGCTCCGCGAGGCGGCGGGGTGGGCTGCGGCCAGGGCACATGTGATGCCCTCTCCGGTGTCCTGGTTGCTGATACACAGTGTCCAGTCTGCTGGGGTCACAGTGACATCAGCTCTAAATCCTTGGCACCTGGAACCCAGCCAGACCCAGGGACGCACTGCCTGTTCCCGGTGGCCGGTGGCTCCCTGCCCCAGTAGTGGGGTCCTGGCTTCCTGCTGGGTGTGGGGCATCCCGGCTGGCCTTGTCCCCTCTGCAGCCCTCCACTCTGCATGGCCCAGAATGACCTGCAGGGCTGGGGCTTCTTGGTGGTGTCCCCTAACAAGGGACGGTCCCTGTGCAGCAGGCTCTCTGCGCTCCTACCTCTTTGCAACTGTCCCCAGGGACCCTCTCCTGCTCCCTGGTGGGGAAGCCCCCATAGACGGTGATTGGCGCTTCTCAGGACCCGCCCCTGTGTTCCTGGGGTCCCTGGGGGGTACCATAGGTCAGTGCTGGGCTCCGACTCTTTCAAAGTCAATTCAGCGCCGGCCTCATCCCAGGCTAGCAGCCCCCGCGAGGCAGGGCTCCAGGCCAGCACCTCAGAGCCCCGCAGGAGCTGGCGAGGAAAGCAGACCCTCAGTCCCTGACTCCTGCGGCAGACCCTCGAGGGCGTCCCTGCCACATGCATCTCCACAGCTCACCAGGGGACATGGTCTTGAGCATGAGGTCCCGTGGGCCAAGAGATGATGGCCGCCCACCCTCAGGCCTGGTGTATGGTCTACACTGCCAGCGGCAGGCAGGCCTGGTGTGTGGTCTACACTGCCGGCTGCGGTCCCAGCCTCCGTGCTCCTCCTTCCTTCGGATTTACTCAGGACAGGAGCATTCCCAGTATAAGCCCCACCTTTCCCAACTTCCTCTACAGAGGAACAGGGGCCGCCCCATACACAGGCTGGCCAGTAAGATAGAAGTGGACGTCACTGCGGAGGACTTCTAGTTCGTGCAGGCCTCTTGCCCTGTGCTCCTTCCCCTCTTCATGCCGGGAACATAGATGCAATGCTAGAGGTGCAGCAGCCGTCTTGTGACCATAGATGACTATGAGATTCGAATGGGCAGATAAACCCTGAGTTTCGATGTCACGGGGCAGCTGCCTTCCCAGACCAGGACAGGCCGTCTCCAGAGAGCGTGTTAGGAAACAGAGGCCTCTCGTTGGGTAAGCCATGGCTATTTGTGTTTTCTGACATATGCAGCTAAATGCAATTCCTAGTTGTAATAAGTACACAAGCTGCCGTGGGTGCTCCTGAGTGGCCTGCCAGTCACCTCACGTCTAGGAGGCCCTGCTCTAAGGAGTCTTGCACGGAAGGCCAGGGGCCAAGGAGGCTGGAAGAAGGGCTTGCCTGGTCCAGCTGGGCCCAGAACCTTGTCTCCATCTGCCTCCCTGAGAAAGGTCACTGCAGGAAGACTGTGGGTCACATTAGGCCAGTGGAGAGAAGGATCACGGAGCCCAGGAGGCCCCCAGGGATGTTTCTGCCGTCAGCGTCGTCACAGTGGCCACCCAGGGTCCTTAGAATACTGTCTCTGTGCGCAAGGGACGGGGACTCCAGAGACACACGGGCCTTGCCTGAACTTCCGAGGATCTGGCTGTGCAGGGGGGCGCGGCCCCAGGGGTTGCTGCTTGGAGGGGTGTGACTTGTGCCGGGGACAGGGGTGCCGCTGGCTGCAGACCTGCCTCTCCCTGGAGCTGCCCCAGGCTCCTGCTCAGCTCAAGCTTGCTCTGAGAGGAGACTGAGGCCCAGAAAGGCAGAGTGACTTGCCCAATGTCACACAGCCTGTTGGGGTAGCTTGTGGGCTTGGCTCTGAACTGTGGGCCCCTGACCTGAGCCTGCAGACGGGGTCCCCAAGACTCCTGAAGCTGCCAAGGAAGGGAGACCACAGCTCGGGACTCACTAGTTCCTGTCCAGGTGTCTCAAAGTGGTGACACTTTCCAGAAGAGCAGCTAGCCCCCATGGGAAGCCATCAGGGCCTGGGAGGGTCGGAGCACTCCGGGAATCCAGGAGGCTCCAAGAGGAGGAGGCCAGTGAGGCCGAGGAGGCGCGGAGGGGAGGCCAGGCTGAGCAGTGGTAGTGGAGCCACGTGGGGTCTGCGCCATCAGCAGGAACCCGCTGCGTCTTTGGCCCGTGTTGGCCTGAGCCAGCACCACGAGCCACTCCTTCCTCCGCAGTCTGCGTGGCTAGTTCTCAGCCCCTTCACAGAACGGGGACCTGAGGCTCTCATCGGCCTCTCTGCGCCCACTCTGCAGGCAGCTCCAGGGCCGGCCCAGCACAGCCGCTCAGGGGCTCTGAGTTCTGGCCTGCAGCCGCCCAGTCCCCTCTCCCTCCTCAGCCCCTGCGGTGGACATCTGGGCCCACCTCCTGTGTCCCCTTGAATGCCTTCCTCCCTTGTTCCTCACCCTGTACCTGGTGTGATTGGTTCCACCACAGTGATTGGTTCAGGGATGGTCATGTGACCCAGATTGGGCCAATGAGCATCTTCCCTGGGACTTTGGCTGAAAGCACCTGGGACAGCTGGCAGCTGCTGGGACACAGTTGGGTGGCCTGAGAGAGGCCAGCCTGGTGGAGTGGCCCAAGAACTAGGAAAGATCTCAGCGTGCCTGAAGCCCTCTGGACCTCGAGGGTCCATGAAATGTCATGTCTTGTCTCCTGGGGAAAGGTCACTGTCCTTCCCTGGCCTCACTCAGGAACCAGCCTCGGCCGCTGCTCGCCTGCCTTTGCCCTCCCCTCCGCAAGGCCTCTTGGTCACCAGAGGTCTGAGCTCAAATTGCAGCTCCTCCTTTGCTGGCTGTGTGACCTTGGGCAGGTCACCCTCTCTGGGCCTCTGTCACCTGGTTTGTAAATGAGGAATGCAGGTGACGCCTTTTCCTTAGGGTGAAAACAGAAAACAGAACGTGCCCAGGGGCTGCTCCCGTCCTGCACCTGCTGTTATTAAGAGGGAGGCAACAGGATTCCTGCACCCTTGGAGGCAGAAGCAGCCCGGCCTGTTGTGAAGTGACCATTCCCTGCATCCGGCTCGTCTGGAGGACTCGGGGACAACGAACCTTATGAAATAGAAGAAGATCCAGGAGGAAAGGGGGCTTCAGCGTGGAGGGGGGGCGTCGGCTTGGCTGAGTCCTGGGGGGGGTCCAGGCCTGGACTCCAGGAGGGCGGGAGTGATTGCTGCCTGGGATGGTATGCAGTGGGGCCACATTCTTGCTGTTAATTCAGGACTCGCCAAGCCCAGGCCAGCCAGGGACAACGGAGCAGCAGTTCCCGCCTCCAGGGAGCTGGGCCTTCACAGCTGAGGCCCCTCCTGGCTCGCAGCAGCAGCCGGGAGCAGCTGTGGGCCCTGTGGGCAGCAGGCGGGCGGGTCCCCGGGCAGCCCAGAGGCCCAGCCCTTCCCCCATGACGGGCTTCCCACGAGTGCTGGGCTCCCTCTGCCCGGGTATGGATGAGGAGAATGAGGCTCCTGACCAGGGGCGGACTCACCCTGTCCCACGGCGGGGAAGTACCCGTGGGGCCAGTGTGTCCAGTTCCCCGTCCCGCGTGGGTCCTGCTCCTCGTTGGCGGGAAGATCACAGGCTGGAGGCGGGACGGGGAGAAGGCAATGTGGGAAGCGGGGCAGGGGTGGCCAGGATCAGGGCTGGGACAGCGAGGAGACCAGATGCAGGCAGGGGGGGGGGACAAGAGGGGAGCAGGAGAGAGGGAGGGGTGGGGACAGAGAGAGAGGGAGAGACATGGGGGGCCAGAACCTGGTCCCCTCCTGGGTCCCCAGTGTCTCCGCGGTACTCGAGCGCCTGCAGGGCTGGACACTCCCCACAGTGCCCGCAGTCCTTCACACAGATGCCTGTTTGAGCACCCACTGCTCCCGGGCCCTTGCCAACTGTGGGACCCAGCAGAGGACGAGGTGGATGAGAACCGGACTCACGGGGTCTGTGCTCCTGGGGTCGGTGTCCCAACACGGCAAGTGAGAAAGGAAGGGAGGGACAGGCCTGGGGCTCCCGCGGCCAGGGCGGCCAGGGCTCTGCAGGATCAGGGCAGTGAGGCCCCGCAAGCCCAGGCGGGGCAGGTACAGGGCCTCCTCCTGCCCTGTGGGACCCCAGCTGGCCCCTGGACGTCCCCAGCCACCAGTGCACCTGGACTCACTGAGTCCCTGAGGATGCTGGGAAGCAGGTTCTGTTTTCCTATTTTTCCAGTGGGGAATTGGAAGCCCAGAGAGGTCAAGCAAAATGTCTAGGTCGCACAGCGCATGGGACCCCCAACCTTGCTCGTTACTGTCCCAGATGCTGGACACGCGGTTTTGCCTTTTAGGTCTCCGTCTTCTCTATCAAATGGGTCGTCAGGAGAATTAAGTGACTGACATCTGTGAAGGTGACATCCTCAAACACCTCTGCTGGTGCTGGCTGCTGGGCGGGCGTCTGGCTGGTCAGCTCTGCTGGGTGGCAGATGAGCTGGGGCACCTGAGGACCCCAGGACGCCTGGCAGAGGGGGCAGTGCGACACAGCCCATTCTGTGCCTGGCAGAGGCAGGATGCGGCCCACGCAGAGGGAGGGCAGCTGGCACCGTTGCCATGGAAACAGCCCGCAGTGGCCGGCTCGCTGTCTGCCCGCCTCCCGGCTGGGCATCCACAGTGGCCGGGCCTCGGTGCCCCCCACAGCCTCCTGATTGACAGCGGGGGCGGTTTCTGGTTCAGAGCACACATGGGCCTCGTGGGGATCAGGGTGGCCGTGCCCTGGAGGCTGAGCCTCTGCAGGGCCTGGGTCGGCCTCCCCCTCCTCCAGGAGCCCGGTCCTCCTTCCCCAGCCGTTGCCGTCCAGCAGGGGCCTGGGGTGGGCTTGGGTCCAGCTCAGCCCCTCTCTGGCTGTGTGTCCTCGGGCACGGCCCTTCACCTCTCTGGGCTCAGTTCAGCATCTAAATACAGAACGGCCCCATGGGACCTGCCCCTCGGGTGGCCAAGAGCGTCACAGGCCGCAGGGCTCTGCCCAGCGCTGGACCTTGGGATGGCAGGTGCGGGTGGGTTTCGAGCACTCTGGGGACGAGCCCTGGCGTCCCCACCTGTCTCTGTGGCTCTGTGCCTTTGCTCTCGGGTTCCAGGTGGGGAGACCGAGGCAGCTCCTCTGCTTCTCCCAGCCCCTCCCTCATCCTGGCTCATTCCACAGAGGCCTCTGGTGACATCCCGGTCCCCTGGGCAGGCACTTATTGTGCACCTGCTGAATGCATGTGGTCTGGCCCCAGGGCTGTGGGGGTGGACGGAGGCAGAGGTGGGGCCGGTGCAGGAAGAAGCTGGGGAGCCCAGGACTGCGCTGCCCACCTCCGCCCAGCCGGCCGACTTCTCCCTGGGCACGACGCTGGGCCCTGGGCTGCTGGCCTCCACTGCCCTCCCAGCAGGACGGGGCTCCCCTGGCAAAGGCTGCGTGGATGGAGGTGCGTCCCCTGCCCGTGCCCAGCCGTCATCGCGCGCCGTCACCTCCTCTGTCACTCCCTCCCTCCTGCCCCTCCCTGGCCCCCTCCTCTCCTCCGCTCCCTCACCCCTGTCCCCACGGCAGTCCTGTCCCCCCACCGTCCCCGCAGGCAGCTGACAGCCCCGTCCCCGTGGGCGGCACCAGAGCAGCTCCCCAGGCTGCCGGGTCCTCCGTGTTCAAAGTGCTTCCTCGGCGCTAAATAATTAATTCCCGCCACGCTCCCTGTGAGGGAATAAATAAATGTCACTTGTGTGGGGTGACAAAGCCCCGCTGGGAGCAGAGCTAACAGCTCCAGGCGCCAACAGAGGGGTCGCCTGGGGACACTGGCCTCAGCCCTCGGCCAAGGCAGAGGGGACACGGGGATGGCGCCCTGGGCCCAAGGTGGCTTTGGGGCTCTGCTGGGTCTCACAGGTCGGGACAGCGGCCGGCCAGGCCCCGGGCGGCCCCCAGCCTCGCTCTGCCCGTCCACGACCTGGGAGTCGGCTGGACTCAGGTCCTGAAGTCCCCAATGGGGACACGCAGGACATGGTCGCACCACGTGCCCTCTGTTCCCCCACCAGTCCCCCAGGCCCCCCGGGCCCGTGTCCCCAGACCCCTCACCAGGGACGCCCCCGTCCCCACTCCTGAGGCTTAGGCCCAGTCCTGTGCACCCTGCACCTCCCGGGCCTTCCCCCAGGTGACCCCTCTGCCCAGAGTGTCCTGGCCCGGCCACCCGCAGGGGCCTCCCCTGTCCAGGTCCCCACACCCCCTGGCAGGAAGCCCTCGTTGGACGCCCCTCTGAGCCGACGGCGGGACCCCCACCCACTTTGCTTCAGGGGACAGCAACCCCTGTCACCGGCCCCCACCCGCCTGAAGCTGTGAGCACCCTGTGGGCAAGGACCATGTCTTCCTCGGTCACTGCTCTGTCCCTGCCCCTGGCATACAGTAGGCGCTCTGAGCCCTTGGTGGTCACTTGTCACCAGCCTTGGCCAGCAGGCGTGCCGCCCTGGTCTGCCCAGCATGGCTGTCCTCAGCCCCGGGAGGCACTCGGCAAAACACGTGCTGTGTTCGAGGCTTCGCCCCAACCAGCACTAGGAGGCACCTGCTGTTTACCAAGGACGATGGGTGGGGAAGGCGGCTCTCATCCCAAAGCCCCAGGTCCCCAGAGCAGGGCTGCCACTCACCAGGACAGCGGGGGACGGCCCGAGACCTGGCTGTGTGCAGATGCCCCCTCAAGATGGCCTCCAGGCAGCCTGCCGGGCCAGACCGGCCACCGGCACACGGCCCCCACATGGCCAGCACCAGGCCTGGCCGTGCCAGAGGCATCGAGGGAAGGCTGCAGATGGCTGGCCACCTGGCTGCCCGGGAGGCTGGACGGAGCCCCCAGCAGCCTGTACAGGCCGTCTTCTTCCTCCCTGCTCATTGGGCCAGGCAGGGCTTGGGGTGAACAAGGGCCCTGGGACCTGTGGTGACTTCCAGGAGTCACTGGGCACCCCAGATGTGTCAGGTCTGCCTCTGGCCTTGGTGCCCGGCACGGCATTCAGGCATCAGGAAGAGTGTGATCAGGGTGTCAAGGGCCTGCTCAGGTGGGGCCCCCGAGGACAGGGCCGGGACTGGACTCTCCTGCTCTCAGCGGCCCCCTCAGGACGCCCACTCCCTCCTCCCTGCCAGGCAGCTGTCCTGTCTCCCCTCAAGGTCATCCGACCAGAGGACACTGGTGTCCGCCAGGCCTCACGGAGGTGCTGGAGCCCATGGGGTGGGGGTGGGAACGGGTGTGTGCCGGGTGCACGAGGCTGTGCGGCTCCGCAGACGTGGCCAGGTGGACTCCCTGGACGGCCCAGATCCACACAGCTGAGCTACGCGGTTTGCAGCCCGTGACCGAGCACTCGGGCGGTGTGAGCATGCGAGTGAGCGTGCGGGTGTGCCTGTGGCCGTGTTGGCCTGCTCCTCAGCCCTCCCGAGGGCTGTGTGCCTCCACAGGGGGCTTCTTCCCCCGCCCTCTTTGGATGAGGAAGCTGATGCTCAGAGAGGCACAGAGGGTTGCCTAAAGTCACACAGCGAGCTGGGAACAGCGCTGCTGCCCAGGGCCTGCGGTGGGTCCTGCTGGAGGCGGCACAGCAAGGTCTCCGTTCTGCCAAGTTCAGCTCAGACTTGGAATCTAGGCCCAGCCTGTCACGTTTCACCCACGGAGGCCTCGACTGCCACCCCCCCACCCCCACCCCCTCCCGTGCCTGGCCGTGACACCCGGGGCAGAGGTCGTGCCGCAGGAGCCACCAACCCCTGGGAGAAGCCACCCCCTGAGCCGCCCCTGTGACCGTGGGGCGTAGGTGGCCATGGGGACTTTATAGATGTGACTCAGTCGAGGTGTGAGACGGGATGTCCCTGGGCCCTCCAGGGGGCCTGGGTGGTCAGAGGTCACGCAGGGACACGGAGGAGTGACGGGCAGCGGGCTGGACTGCGGGGCCTGAGCGGCTGAAGGCAAGAGGCCGAGGCCCTGGAGCCTCCAGGAAGGGGCTCGGCCGGCCCAGCCTCAGCCCCGGAGGCCATGTCAGGCTCTGGCCTCGGGGACTGGGAGGCCACCGTGCTGTTTCCAGGACCCCAGCCCTGGTAGCACCGTGGTGCGTCTGTCATCACGGGGAGCCCTGTGGCGAGGGCTGCTCCAGGCAGCTGGACCGGGCACGTCGTCGGCAAGGGCTTCAGGGGGCAGCCGCAGGAGAGGGGTGCTCCAGGAGCACCACCTTGGCCCAGCTGCCCGGGGTCTGCGGAGCTGCCTCCAGGGACAGGGCCCGAGGGCTCCTTGCTGGCCATGTTCACAGGACCCAGAGGCACAGAGAGGTGAAGACACCTGCCTGATGTCACACAGGGGTGGACGGGAGGCCAGGGGGAAGCAGGCTGCGCCGTCCCTGGGCGGGAGGGCAGAGGCTCTGCCTGCAGACTCGGGCCCTGCCTGGGCAGCACCTGCCCTCTGGAGACACGGCCCCACACACAGGCCAAGGTGACAGTCCCCACTGCACCAGGTCACCTCACAGGGGCTGGACAGCAGGGGTCTGGTCCTTCCTGTTGTGGAGGCTGAAGGTCAGAAGTGTCAGAGGCCACGCCCCCGTGGAAGGTTCTAGAAGGGTCCATCCAAGCCTTTTCCGGCTCTGGTGGTGGCCACAGTCCTTGGTGTCCCAGGCTTGAGGTAGCATCACCCGCCCCTCTGCCTCTGTCCCGGGGGCCTCCTCGTCTGGGTGCCCACGTCCAGGTCCCCCTCTTCTTACGAGGGCAGCCTGGTCCACTCCGACCTCATCCTGAGTCCACCACACCTGCAAAGGTGGAGGGAGGGGGCACCCACAGGTACCCAGGGGGACAAGAGCTTTGGGGGACACCACGCACTCGGGGGCTGAGACCCTGGACCCTGGTGTGACCTGTCCTCCCAGACGGCAGCCTGACAGGTGGTAAGGGGCACAGGCTCTGGTGAGGGGCTGGTTCAAATCCAGGCTTCACCGCTCACTGGCTGTGTGACCTTAGGAAAGTTACTTCGCCTCTCTGTGCCCCTGGGAGGGAGACACCAGCGCCCACCCGCAGGGCTGTCAGTAACATTAAATGAGACCCTGCAGGTGAAGCTCTTGGGCCCAGTCCCCAGCAGGCCCTGGGCAGACATTGCTGTCACCTTAACTGGTGACTGTCCCCAAAAAGTTGGGAAGACCTGGGTGACCACAGACCCTGCCGCGGAGGGAGCCCCGCCTCCCCCTTTCTCTCCACGCCCAGGGCTTCGAGGACAGAGGCCTGACCGCTGGGCCGCCTCCACTCCGGCCTCCACCTGCCAAGGCTGTGCAGCCTCTGCAGAGAGGAGCAGGCTCAGGTGACAGCCTTTGTTTCCCTCCACAGTCACCTTCTGTTTACAGCAGGTGACGTCAGTCTCCTGATTAGAGGCTACCTGGGCCTCCCTCCTCACCTGCTGAAGGTGGTCGGTTGGCGGGTTGAGCACGCGGGGCCTGGAAGGGTCTGCGTCCACAGGGGAAGGGGGTGGGGGGACTTGGGGACCCGGGGATTATTTCCCCACCTGTGCAGATGCCACCAGGCGCAATTCACGATGTGACCCTCCCGCCTCAGCCTCCCACGGCACGGAGACAACAGGCGTGGGCCAGGCGCCCCGCATCTCCAGAGGCCTGGCTGTCCTCCTCGAGGGCCGAGTCCTGCCCTGCTCCGCGGGAGCCCGGCTGGGCCTGCGCTTCTGGGAGGACCAGGCCCCAGCTGTCCCACCCCGTGAGCCGCCACGTCCCCTGGAGGGACACGCAGGCCCCGAGGCACACGGTCGGCTCTGGGTTGCCTGGGGCAGCGGCCACCCTTCTTGTCTTGGCGGTGACAAGGCAGCTCTGTAGACAGGCCCTGCTGGCCACGGGCCACTCCAGCCTGCGTCCCTCCTCCCATCCAGTCCCCGTTGCCACAAAAGCTTGGTCTCCTGCCGGGACCCTGTGACAGGGCCAGATGGCAGCTTTTGGGCAGGGCCTCTCGCAGGGCATAGTCACGTGGCCACCAGGGCCGGTCACCTTGCCTCTCACACCTGACAGTTGATCTGGCCATGGGCTGCACCCGGCTGCGGCCTGAGCCTCCTCAGAACAGGGCGGAGCTGTCCCAGGGGAGCCGTGTCACCTCCCTAAAGTGGCCTTGGGAGCTGCGGGAAAGGCTGGTGGCAGAGGAGGACACCAGGAGGAGGTGTCATAGAACTGTGGGGTGGGGCTGGTGGTGGGCACTGGCCCTGGACAGGAGGGAGCCTGCCCTGGCCTGGCCCTGCTGGCCCTGGCTGGACACTGGACGTAGGCACTGAGCTGCACTCACTGTCTCCCAGGCAATGGAGAGGCCCCGGGAGCCGCCAGCCACGCCCTTGCCCAGGACGCACACTGGGCCCTTGTGCAGGCCATGGCCACCTGCCAGAGGACGGCCAGCTGCAGGCAGGACCCCAGCTCTGCCACAGGATGCTTCCGGGGCTGCTCTGCCCCTGCCC